CAACCGTTTCGTCCTAGTATGAGACTTCTCAGCAGTGCGCATCCACCATCCCGCCTCCTGTGAGGTTCGGGCTCAGGACCTATCAGTCTCTCACGCGAGCGCTTAACAACTAGACCACTGAGTCGGCATTCAACAGTGTCTAACGAAGTCTAACTTCAACTAATCCATGAAACTGCGCCACCATACACCATGTTTTCCATGGTGGTCTAGCTTCAATCGACTCGTGATTTCAACTATTGAAATTACTAAAATCTCCACAAAAGCCCTTCTGATAATGATCATCTGCTCACTAGTGACTGGCTTCAAAAGGCATTTCCTGGAGTTCTAGTGAGAAGCAGTGACCAGTGGAGTTCAACCAGGTCTGTTGTGGGATATCAACTCACTGAAGACAATGGTGTACGGTGGCGCAATTTCTTGAATTCGTTGAAGTTAGACATTAACACTGTTGCATGCTGACCGACTCAGTGGTCTAGAGGTTAAGCGTACACGCGCGAGACCGATAGGTTCTAGGTTCGAATTCGGTGGGGCGGGGTCGTGGATGCACACTGCTGAGGAGTCACATAATAGGATGAAATGGCCGTCTAGTGCTTTCAGGTTTTTCATAGTGGTCTAGCTTCAACAGACTCATAATCTCAACTATTAAATTACTATAATACCCACAAAAACCCCTTTCTGATATAAACAGAAGATAAAATACTTAGTAGAGTGATTTTTTTTAGAAAAATGAACATATTTGAATTAATTTTTTTCTGTTTGGATACTCTCACATACAAAAACTTTATGAAGCTCTCTAAAATGAAAAAAACCATCATACATGAATGCAAAATTAATCTAGAATTTGTAAAGATATTTTTTTCTTAGAACGATTTTATAATCACAATGTATACTATGGATGTGAAAGGTGGCTTGCTGACATAAAAAGAAAAACAATTCAGGGAAAACTTGAGGACTACTTTGAAACTCTATAATTAAACATACTTCATACGAGATTCCATTATGAGTTATAAAATCTAATGACAAAGTTAAATCACATAGTCATCATCTAATGATTACAATGATCAATTACTGTTAATTAACAATATAGCTTGACATTTGTTTGATGTCATCATCAGTGATAACTATTCGGCTATCAACGTGATTAAATCTAATTAGATACAACTTTTTACCAAAAAGTCAAGCATACACCTACTGTTCCTAGGGTGGGATAAGTAGAATCTACAATTTTTTAAATTATATTATCATCGAAAGGTGTATGAAATAGAAATTACGAAATTCAAGTTTAGACTTTTATTAAGTTTAACTTTACCTGCAGAATAAGCAACATTCAGTGAAACTAAGTAGTATTATAGAAATTTCTCATAAATTACAGATGGTTTACTTCATAAACCTATGTAAATGAATCATAATCGTGTGAAAGGATTTTGTAAACCAATACATTTATTTTATGAAAAGGATTTTCAACAAAACCAATGATCAAGTATATTAAAAGCCACTGTCGTTAACAGTGTTGTTTAAAGACGATCTTTGACAAGATCTGAGATCTCTAAATTTAACTAATCTTCACAAATCACCTATCTACTTGTGATCAGATGGTTGTCATTAATTTACTTACTTACGCCTGTTACTCCCAATGGAGCATAGGCCACCAACCAGCATTGTCCAACCCACTCTGTCCTGGGCATGCTTTTCTAGTTCTATCGATTTATTGTTCATTCTTCTCATATCTGTCTCCATTTCTTGGTGTAGTGTGTTCTTTGGTCTTCCTCTCTTCCTTTGACCTTGAGGATTCCATGTGAGGGCTTACCTTGTGACGCACTTGAAAAATACAAACTAAAATTCTAATGAAATATTCATGATTAACTAGTATCAAGTGTATCGGCAGTGAAACGGTTATAACCGATTGTACCAGCTATTTGTCGCATCATTATCATGATTAATATGAAATCGAATGTTTTCCTAGCTTTAGAAGCTAATGTTTCTGAATTCTGTCTAGTTTGAATTTGTGTAAATAAACTATTGAGAATTTCCCAAGACAAACACTACCATGTATTGCTAACTGATTTCCAATAACTATCCAGCTGACAGTATTTAATCCCGATAAATCATAAATTACAACAATTTCCTACTACCCATCAATACTTATCATCATAAGAGTTTATGATTTATAAGACGTTTTTCGCCTTTAAACATTTCTTTAGGTCTATTTTACGAGAAAAAAATGTAATATTATCATAACAATAAACATAAACTTTTTGCATAAATACAGATAAACAGTAACACCTTTCATTGAAACTATTACTGGATAGAAGTAAAAGCTGTTGTTGTGTTTTTTTCCCTATTTCGTTAGTCTGTATAATCATAATTTTCAAAGTTCAACGTTTTTAATAATGATAAGAAAAACAAATGGTAATTTATGACTGATTGCTTATTTTTTTTCAAAAATTACATCATCATCATCTAAACAGAAAGAAGGGAGTTATTGTACAGACGAACAAAATATTTGGAAACCGATGAAAATGTGTAGTTGGAATTGTTTACATATTATACTATACTAATTATAATGAAGAATTTTAACCTTTAATCATATTATTAAGAGGTTGATTGTGTTTTTCATATGATCATGAATGTAAACTACATTGCTACGAAAGTTTGTATTATGATGTGTCTATATGTAATATATTATTCTTTTATATTATAGTACTGAAGAGTATGGAAAAATGAATCAATTCTATTTTCATAATTAAAGTAACCAATAGGTTATATGGTGATCAGAAGAGATTTTCAGGTGTTAATAAAAGCACAAGAAATAATATATTGGTTGAGGGAATTCTATAAAAAGGTTGAATGAGTTAGTTGAAAGAAAAAGTATACGGATCAAGAAACGTACTCATTTTTATATCTATGA